TGTGTGTATATATATATGTGTGTATATATATATGTGTGTATATATATGTGTATGTATGTGTATATATGTATATGTGTATGTGTATATATATGTATGTATGTGTATGTGTATATATATATATATGTATATGTATATATATGTGTATATATATGTATATGTGTGTGTATGTATGTGTGTGTGTGTATATATATGTGTGTGTATATATGTGTGTATATATATGTGTGTGTATATATATGTGTATGTATATATATGTGTATATGTATATGTGTGTGTATGTATGTGTGTGTGTGTGTGTATGTATGTGTGTGTGTGTGTGTGTATGTATGTGTGTGTGTGTGTGTATGCATGTATGTATGCATGTATGTGTGTGTATGTATATGTATGTATGTATGTATGTATGTATGTATGTATGAAGATTGATTGAGGAGGATGTCAAGCAGCTTCCAGCTGTCGCCAAACAGGTAGAGCCTGAGCCACACGATGAAGACGAAGGACAAACAGAAGCAAGACTGGAGCACATCCTTCACACAGAGAGGAGCATGAAACAAACCCTGGGAGAGAGGTCCTGGGTTAGTCCAGACCGAGATTAGTGTCGCTGCCAAATAAATACATACTGCAGATAAATACTGAAGCACCCAGACTGCCCTGATACCTGTGTCCTGCACTAAATCTGGTTTAATTATAGGGCTGGGTATTCTGTACAAACGTAAATATGTCAATATCTCAGAATATGAACAAGACTTAGGGTGGGAGGCTGGCCGCACACAGGAGGGAGGTTCATTCAGTTGTTGGTGTATAATGGGTCTCCTGGCTGAGTCTGACATAAACCCACCTGGGGATATTGACTTGCCTGGTGTGTAAACAAACAGTGTTCTGTGAATGACAAGTCAAACTCATCCCCTCTCAAATTCGAGATTTTGTGTGTCAAAGTTCAATCAGACTGAACTCCGTGCATAGTGAAGGAGCTGGGTTTATTGGAGCCCGGAAGCAAATGTGTCTTACCCCAATTACAATAGCATGTGACAATCTACGATGTGAGATATGGAAGACTTATAATTGAAATGGTGTCAGATCGATACATATAAACGGCATCATCAACAGGTTGTATTATTTATTGCTATCATTTTACTAATTGAAGACAAACCACACCATCTGCCTCTGGCTGCAGATTTGTGTTACTTTGTGTTCCTGTCGTGCTGCTCGGAACCATCCAGACAACAATAGGATTCTCTGAAGAAACATCTTTCCATTTGTTAAGCTGTTGTTATCAAGCTTCCCTGTGATTGGCTCAGCTGTTACAGATCGATAAGACCAGTGATGTGACACACGGCTGTATCCAATAAATCTGATTCTGATTCTGAAACCGAATACCATGTGAGCTTAAAGACACCCACACAAATATGTCTCTATGCTAGCAGCCCCAAGTGGTCGTCTTTAGGCACAGCATTACTTTGAGCCAAATGCTAACATCGGCATGCTAACATACTCACAATGACAATGCTAACATGCTAACGTTTAGCAGGTGTTTACCACGTTCACCCTCTTAGTTTAGCTTGTTGGCATGCTAACATCTCCTTATCTGCACTGACTTCACAGGAATGTCATTAGCGTTGCAGGTTTTTGTTCAGAAACCAAAGTACTGGACACATTCTGACCTGATGTTGGAGCTAAAAGAAGAGTTCGAGGATCACCAAAGTTTACAGTTCATCCTGAGGGGACCATGAATGTGTTTACCATAAGTACTTGCAAGACATCCAATAGTTGTTGAGATATTTCACTAAAAAACAAAAATGTCAACCTGCTGCTGATGCTAGAAGATTAATGTCATGCCAAACCATCCAACAGTTGAGATGTTTCAGTGTGGTGGTGTACACAGCCAGAGAGCTTACATCAACTGTGTGCTCAGCTTTATAATCTTTTTGACTTGTTTTTTGATCCGATGGTTCTTCTTAGACTCAGTTTTATTTTAGACAGTTTTAATGTTTGAGACCATCACTTCTTCTCAATAGAATAAGGATTCAAAAAACTAAAATATGTTTGTATTGCTCAAAAATAATCCTTTTGTTATCAGTGGTGATGCTAGGGTACAGTATCAGTAGTACTTGTATAGAAAGATTTCAAATGATACCTATGGTGCTTATTCACAAACACAAGCATTCTCCTCTCCTTTCCAGACCCCATCCAGCTGGTCTTCAACCAGCGTTGGTCTTGGTTCACTGAGTCAGGAGCTCCGGGTCCATCTCAACCACTGGTCTTGTCTGTTCTCCAAAGTCCACTCTGACTGCTACCTGAGACCAGTTCTGGTCCAGCAGACCCGGCTGCTGGTGGAAATCAAACAGACTCTGGACTTACTTGGTCTGCAGGCACTGGTTTTGATGGAACATTATGTGTATGTCATTCTGTGTGCTATAGCTCGGACTGAATTAGACTCTGTACCAAGAGAAGTCCTGGAGGATATTTTAGCTGGAACAGACCTGTATAACCAGGCAGTGGGAGAGCAGAGATCACAGCAAAGTACCACCCAGCTGAGGACTGCAGTATTACAGCAGGCGCATAATTCCACACTGGACTGTAGTCTTCCAAACAACAAAGTCCGTCACCCTGCTGCCTTCACAGTCAAAGAGCTGATGATGATTTTAGCGGTGCATCAAGCAGACATGGCAGCCAAGCAGCTGCACTGCTGGGCCTCTAAACAGAGCTGTCCCATCTGTCAGGTCCACACCAACCACGAGGCCTATGCATGTTCACACAGCTCTGCTGGTCAGGTGGCCAATCCACTCGGATCTGCACTAAGATCTGAGTGGACCTGGGAGCAGCTGCAGCTGCAGCACACCTACCTTATTTCCTCTCCTCTCTTCTCTATTCATCATCAGTCATCGTCTAGTCGCACTTGCCATAAGACTCCTCCTGTTTACATCCCTGACCCTCATTTGGACAGTACTATCTTTGAAAAACACCATCCTGTGTTAGCCAAGCCCACCTTTGTCCAACACAGACCAGAGGGCTCTAACAAAGACCAAACCAGCCAGTGCCAAACATACATATCCCAGACGGGTCTAGTCCAGACTAATATGGAAGCTTTAGTCTCAGTCCAACCAAATCTAGAAAGTTTGGAAAACCGTAAACTATTGCAGACCATTTCCCCCCCTTCACCCACCCCCCACTGTCTTTCAGCCCTGCCTCTGTCAGGGGTTTGCCAACAGGACCATTCCTCAGTAGAGCTACTTTTTCAGGTACTAGTTTCCTCCAATGACCTGCTGGCTCCTCTGGTGTCACATACACCTACACCAGGGGCTCCATCTGAACCACTGCGCCCAGATACAATGGCAGATGTGCTATCACCAAACGGAAAGAGTGACCTGATGATTTTAAATGCTCCCAGTATAAATCCAGCTGATTCAGAATGGAATATTCTGAGTACAGAGCTGAGCAAGGACCGGAATGTGGAAGGAACTCAGCAGGAACGGGCTGAACTGAAACTAACAACCAGGTAAGAAGCTGCTGTCAGGTAATGTCAAGATCAACCAGCCACTGAATGTTGTGTCGATTGTTAATGCACTATTGTTAAGCAATTTGGTTGCCTATCAGATCATCTGAGACACGTTTGACACTCCATGCTGGGCAACAGCAGGCAATAGCCATATATTATATGCTGGCCATTCACATGAACGTGCAGCGCTAAGCCTACAGTATAGGCTTAAGGTTGGTTGGTGCAACTGATTCATTCTAAAGACTGACTTAGCACCAGGCTTAGCAGAAACCAGCTGGTGCAACGCGCTCCCGGATCTTCCACATCCAAGGGGCCAGAGATCAATTGCACTAGCGTTTCCGTTCCCCGCCCCTCAGCCCTCTGTCTCGCTCACATGAACAATTACATTACATTACAACTTTTAGGAGCTAACTATTCAAGTGGTCATCCTGGGAAGTTAATTTACCTCAAATTCTTTCCCAATATAAGTCCAGCCCTGGGTTTTGGATGTGAGGTAATAGTCGGATGCTAGTTTCCTGTTAGAACACATTGACTTACATGCATACTACTGCTACTACTACTACTAATAATACATTTTATTTATCTAGCGCTTTTCAAAATTCTCAGACACTTTACAAACATTAAAATCATTGTAAAAAAGCTAAACACTAAAAACATAGAACACACATTCGTCACGCATTAAAAGCAGTTCTATAAAGGTGGGTTTTGATTTGTGATTTGCAGTGGCGGGCTGTGCATTTTATACCTGGGCCTTCACTGCTGTCCTGCAGCTGAAATACCACCTTATAACCACATTGTGGCACCACAGCTGTTATTCATTTTTAAGGCTGTAACTTATGTACATCGTCATATTAAACCGTTCAGTACGAGTTGTTTGAATAATGCTAGAGCATTTAGAAAATGCAAAAGCCTAAATTCAGGAAAATATAATGTTCTCAGCTGTTCTGGCTGTGGGATCCACCATCACTCCTTAATGACAAGCCGCGACCCAAAGAGATTAACATTGGATTTTACTTTCACAACATGAACGTACTGCTCTGCAATGTCTTTCCTCGGCTCAGGTTCCTCGATCATGGTGCATTTCACTCAGTCAGAATGCATTTTGATTGGCTGAGCTGCATCACGTGATGTGATTCACTACCCATCAGCCTCTGCTGGCTGTTAAGTTTCGTTTCACGATAGTCACGTGCTCGCCCACTGACCAATCACAGCACACTCTGTACCTCGCGGGAAAGCTACACACGGACACTGGCGGCATGTAATGCTGACGTCATTATAGGCCGGCGCGCAGGCTCTGATAGTCAAAGAATACGCCCAACATGTCAAACTAAAGATCTGATTGGTTGAACACGATGACAATCAACAATATCGTCCCCATTTACTTTAATCTGCACTGGCTGCAGGTGAGACTCTGCAGGCCTCGGGCCTCTCTTCTTACCTGGAGATACAGATGCGAAATCTGATTGGATAAAAGCTCTACTTAAAACAAGCTGCACTGGAAGCAGAGCAGCTGAGGAAGACAGTAGCTGTGCAATGAGAAAATAAGATAATGGGAAAAATATTTTTATAAATTATAATACATGTAGTGTATTTAAGAAAAAATATTAAATTATAAAATAGATCTTTTTTTTTTTTTTTTTTTAATATATATAGTTTTGTGATTCTGTTTCGGCCAGCAGAGAAGGCCTTGCAGGCCCTGACGGCCCGCCACTGGTGATTTGAATATGGAAAGGTCAGTGCAGTCTCCGATGTGTTTGGGGAGAGAGTTCCAGAGGGAGGGGGCAGCTATGGCGAAGGCTCTGTTGCCCCATAATCCACTATCATTCCAAATATGACAATAATCAAAAATTTGATATGGGTCATCTTATTCCAAACTATTAGTTAAGTCATCTAAGATGGCGCCGCAGACGGCTGCCTCGACGTGTTGGTGCGCATTGTTTTGTGTTGTTTTTGTTGTTAATTCAGTTTTATGCTGTGATACCCGGAGCTCTTTCACCAGAGATGAGCTCATGAACATCAGGGGTACAACTCCAGCGGACTTAGTTCCAACATTTCTGCTAACTTCTGTGGAATTACTGGACAGTCTTGTCAAAGGTGCGCTTACCTTAGCCCATGCAGTGAGACGCCACAGGAGAGGGAAACGGGCCAGCGTGCTTGTGCGTCTTCGCACACGTGGATTTCGCACACCGCTGCCGGGCATATTTCTCTCAAACGTCCGCTCACTGTGCAACAAACTGGACGAACTTCAGCTACTCGTGGGGAAAGACAGAGACTTTTCTACATCTTCCGTTTTGTGCTTCACTGAGACCTGGCTCTGTGGATCGATTCCGGACTCTGCGCTCCAGCTGGCTGGCTTCCAGCTGTTCAGAGCGGATCGCGATACGGAGCTCTCCAGCAAATCGAAAGGTGGAGGAATCTGTTTTTATACCAACAGTGGCTGCTGCAACGATGTGTCAGTGATTCTTCAGCACTGTTCTCCTGATCTGGATTCATCATAAACTGCAAACCCTTTTACTCCCCCCGTGAGTTCGCTTCATTTATACTGGCTGGTGTTTACATTCCGCCGCATGGCAACATGCAGGAAGCACAGCGTGCGCTCGCCGACCAGATACTGTGTGTGGAGCGGACCTACCCGGACTCCTTAGTTATTGTCCTTGGTGACTTTAACAAAGGAAACCTCAGCCATGAACTCCCTAAATACAGACAGTTTATTAAATGTCCAACCAGAGAGGAGAACATTCTGGACAACTGTTACACCACAATCAGCAGGGCCTATCACGCCGTCCCTCGTGCTGCACTGGGTCTCTCTGACCATGTCATGGTCCATCTGATTCCTGCATACAGGCATAAACTCGAGCTCTGTAAACCTGTAGTGAGGACATTCAAGAAGTGGACCAGTGAAGCTGTAGAGGATCTTCGGGCGTGCTTGGACTGTACAGACTGGGATGTATTCAGGACTGCTACCAACAGTCTGGATGAGTACACAGAGGCTGTAACGTCATACATCAGCTTCTGTGAGGACAGCTGTGTTCCATCAAGCACCAGAGTGAGTTACAATGACAAACCCTGGTTTACAGCAGAACTCAGAAAGCTAAGGCTGCAAAAAGATCAGGCATTTAGGAGTGGGGACAAGGACTTGTACAAAGAGTCAAAATACAGGTTTAGCAAGGCGGTGAGAGATGCTAAACGACTGTACTCTGAGAAACTGCAACACCAGCTCTCAGCAAATGACTGCTTCTGTCTGGAGAGGTCTCAGACAGATAACTAACTACAAGCCTAAGACCCCCCACTCCATGAACGACCTCCGCCTGGCAGACGAGCTGAACAAGTTCTACTGTCGCTTTGACAGACAATGGGACAGTCCTGACTCCAGCCCCATCAACCGCCCCAGACCACCAGGTCTGGGGCCCATGCCTCTGCACCACCCATCCCAGTGTCACCCCCCTCCCCAGTAACGCCTAGTCCTGTCCCACCTAAAATCCCTCACTGACCCACTCCTGGACCCCCTGCAGTTCGCTTACAGAGCCAACAGGTCTGCAGACGACGCAGTCAACTTGGCCCTTCATTTCATCCTCCAGCATCTGGACTCCCCAGGAACCTACGCCAGGATCCTGTTTGTGGACTTTAGCTCTGCCTTCAACACCATCATCCCGTCTTTGCTGCAGGACAAGCTCTCTCGGCTGCACGTGCCCGACTCCACCTGCAAGTGGATCACAGACAGAAGCAGCACGTCAAGCTGGGAGGGCACAGCTCAGCCTCTCGGACCATCAGCACCGGTTCCCCCCAAGGCTGCGTTCTTTCCCCTCTGCTCTTCTCCCTGTACACCAACAGCAGCACCTCCAGTCACCAGTCCGTCAAGCTCCTGAAGTTCGCGGATGACACCACCCTCATTGGACTCATCTCTGGTGGGGATGAGTCCGCTTACAGGTGGGAGACTGACCATCTGGTGACCTGGTGCGGGTTAAACAAATTGGAGCTCAACGCTCTAAAGACAGTGGAGATGGTTGTGGATTTCAGGAAGAACGCAGCCCCACCAGCCCCTATCACTCTGTGTGACTCCCCCGTCGATGCGGTGGAGTCCTTCCGCTTCCTGGGCTCCATCATATCCCAGGACCTCAAGTGGGAGCTCAACATCGGCTCCATCACAAAGAAGGCTCAGCAGAGGATGTACTTCCTGAGGCAGCTGAAGAAATTCAACCTGCCAAAGACGATGATGGTGCATTTCTACACAGCCATCATTGAGTCCATCCTCTGCTCCTCCATCACGGTCTGGCACGCTGCAGCCACTGCCAAGGACAAGGGCAGGCTGCAGCGCATCATTCGCTCTGCCGAGAGGGTGATTGGCTGCAATCTGCCGTCCCTCCAAGACTTGTTCACTTCAAGAACCCTGAAGCGAGCAAGAAGGATTGTAGTCGGCTGATTAACAGAGCCCGGGACCCCCACTGACTCTGTCATCCCCAGGACAAATTCCTACCGGTCACTCCCCTGCACATCCCTTCTATTACACTCAACACTTTTACACTACACTTACACCTCACTTGTTTATAGTCCTGTTATCTGTTCGTTTGTGCACTTTATTTTATACTTCACTTTATTTTATATTTTACTTTATTTTATATTTTCTGTAAATTTAATATGTTTCTACTTTGCACTGTTGATTGTTGTTGATTGTTGTTAAATGTTATGCACCTCCCGTCATGTCAAATTCCTTGTATGTTCAACATACCAGGGCAATAAACGGTTCTGATTCTGATTCTAGTGGAATATTCATTTTCATTAGCCATGTAACCAGAGTAGGAATATTGTCTTTTTGGGAATAAGGTCAAAAACCAGAATATTTCATGCATATTTGGAGAAAAACTGGATCCAGAGTTGGTCCGGACACAGGTGCTCGGGTGGGCGGCCGGTCTGGGGACACTGGGGCTCCGGACACGGGGGGCTGGAGTCGGTCCGACACGGGGAGCTAAAGTCATCTGTGGCCCCGCGGAGGCAGCGGCCGGAACTGGAACCCGCTGCAGCTCGGAGTCGGCAGCGACTGGAACTGGAGTCCGCTGCGGCTTGGAGACGGCCTCCTACGAGGGTTGAAAGGGGAGTCCAACCTTCGTCAAGCTAAGACTTCTTGAGCGTGTACGTAGGGAGTTTCTATTTGTCTACCATGTGTCTGCATCTGATTTCTGTCCACTCCTCTGCTTGGTGGTCACGTAGACATTGGGCCACTCCCAGGTGCCGTGACCCCACTAACCTCATCTATCCTACTCTCTCAGCTCATGGCGAGCAAGTGGTGGCAGGGTGGCTTTGGAATTGCCAGTCGGCAGTGCCGAAAGCTGAGTTCATCTCAGGCTACGCTTCCTTGCTCTCCCTCGACTTTCTTGCTCTAACTGAGACCTGAATCACACCAGAAAACACCACCACACCCGCAGCTCTGTCAGATGTACACTCCCAGAGCTGCGAGGCGAGATGGTGGTACTGGCCTGCTAATTTCCCCAAAATGGAAATACTCTCTTGTCTCTGTTCCACAGTTCTCCCCATCCTCTTTCGAATTTCATGCTGTTACTGTCACTTATCAGAATCCAGTCAAGCTCACCATTGCTGTTGTGTATCGCCCACCAGGCCCTCTTGGTGAGTTGCTGGAGGAGCTTGACACATTAGTCTCGCACTTCCACGACGATGGCTCCGCACTCATCCTGCTCGGCGACTTCAACATCCAGACTGATAAGTCAGAACCTCTTCTTTCCTTCCTCTCCTCCTTTGTCCTTTACCACTCTTCCTCTCCTCCTACCCACAAGGCCGGCAACCAGCTGGATCTTATCTTCACTAGACACTGTTCTACTGCTAACCTCTCCGTCACTCCCCTCCAGCTCTCTGACCAATATTTCATGTCCTACTGCCTCTCCCTCTCCTCTCCCCCCATACTTCCGCCACCTACCCATATGGTTTCTACCCGTAGTCATCTTCGATCCCTCTCCCCAGCTGATCTTTCCTCTTCTTTTACCTCTGCTCTCCCTGACCTTGAATCCTTCTCTCTCCTATCCCCTGATACTGCTCCTGATTTTCTCCTCAGCACCCTTTCCTCTTCTTTGGACAACCTCTGTCCCCTCACCTCCAGGCCTGCACGGCCAACTCCACCTGCCCCATGGTTATCGGACTCTGTGCGTACTGATAGACGGAGCCTAAGGGAGGCTGAGCGTAAATGGAGAAAAGGCAAACTCCCGGAGGACCTTCTTAACTTCCAATCTCTTCTTTCAACTTTTTCCTCCTCTCTATCTACTGCTAAAGCTGCTTTCTTCCGCTCTAAAATCCTAACCATTGCTTCCAATCCCAAAAAACTCTTCCAAACTTTCTCTTCACTCCTCCAACCCCCACCCCCTCCTCCTACTTCCTCCCTTCTCCCTGACGATTTCGCTAACTTCTTTGACAAGAAGGTAAACGATATCAGATCCTCCTTCTCTCAGCCCCCCTGTCCCTGTCCACCCTCTCCCTCTCTACCCTGTCCAGCTCTTCCCCCACAGCTCTCCTTCCCCTGTCCATGCCCCATCTTATCTTACCTTACGAGGTCCTCAACCTTATTACATCTAACCGCCCCACCACGTGCTCTCTTGATCCAATCCCCTCCCCTCTTCTTCAGTCTATTGCGACTGAACTCCTTCCTTTCCTCACCCACCTCATCAACACATCTCTCGTTTCAGGATGCTTTCCCACAGCTTTCAAGACTGCCAGAGTCGCCCCCCTTCTGAAAAAACCATCACTTGACCCCTCTGATGTCAAGAACTTCAGACCGGTTTCTCTTCTACCCTTTCTTTCCAAAACACTTGAACGTGCTGTCTTTAATCAACTGTCTTCCTATCTCTATCAGAACAGCCTCTTGGACCCCCACCAGTCCGGGTTTAAAGTGGGTCACTCGACTGAGACAGCCCTCCTTGCGGTGACGGAGTCGCTTCACGGCGCAAGAGCTAACCCTCTCTCCTCTGTCCTGATTCTCCTGGACCTGTCTGCAGCATTTGACACTGTGAACCACCAGATCCTCCTCTCCACCCTCGAGGGGATGGGTGTCTCAGGCTCTGCACTCTCCCTGTTTGCATCCTACCTGACAGGTCGATCCTACCAGGTGACTTGGAGGGGGGCCGTGTCGGAACCACGCATGCTGACTACGGGGGTTCCACAAGGTTCAGTCCTGAGCCCCCTTCTCTTCTCGCTCTACACAACATCTCTGGGTTCTGTTATTCGCTCGCATGACTTCTCTTACCATTGCTATGCCGATGACACCCAGCTGGTCTTGTCATTTCCCCCCGATGACACTCAAGTGGAGGCACGCATCGCTGCGTGCTTGGCTGGATGACCAACTGTCATTCTCAGCAAACATTTCATCGGTTACACGCTCCTGCAGATTCCTGCTCTATAACATCAGGAGGATTCGCCCCTTCCTCACTGAGGAGACGGCGCAGGTGCTCATCCAGGCTCTTGTCATCTCCCGCCTGGACTACTGCAACTCACTACTTGCCGGAGCCCCGGCGTCGGCCATCAGACCGCTGGAGCTTGTCCAGAAAGCTGCAGCTCGCCTGGTGTTCAATTGCCCCAAGTTCTCCCACGCAACTTCCCTTCTCCGTTCTCTACACTGGCTCCCTGTAAGAGCTCGCATCCAGTTTAAGACTCTGGTGCTAGCCTACAGGGCAGTGAAAGGAACAGCTCCTTCCTATCTCCAGGCCACGGTCAAGCCCTACACCCCCGCCCGACCACTTCGCTCTGCTGCCTCGGGGCGATCGTTTGCCCCGTCGCTCAGAGGACCCTGCGGCCGTTTGACCGGGTCATGGCTGTTTTCCGTCCTGGCCCCACAGTGGTGGAATGAACTCCCCACTGACGTCAGGACAGCAGAGTCGCTGCCCATCTTTCATCAGGCTGAAAACTCACCTCTTCAAGAAGTACTACCCTGAGCCTTCCACTTAGCACTTATTGTATTCGTATTAGTTTGTTGCACTTATTACATTAGTTTGTTTCTGCACTGTGCAGTTGCTCTGGTTCATGCTCTTAGATGCTTGTTTGAAGAAGGAGATGTATTTATGACTTCTGGTGACTAGTAGTTCTCTTGAATACCGATGTTGAATACACTTACTGTAAGTCGCTTTGGATAAAAGCGTCTGCTAAATGACTGTAATGTAATGTAGTCCAACAAGTCATGGTTTGCCTTCTGGACACTCTGAGGCCCTCCAAAGGCCAGGCGGGTTCCCATAAACTGTTCACTCCACTCAGGGAGACGGCACTCGAAACGGTGGTCTGCTAAGTCCATTTCTGGCCAGATCATTCTGTCACGGGGTGTGGTGGAGGTCTCAAATGCAAGCCAGACAGAGTTGCGTGAAGCAGGTATTTAATGAAATCAAATCAACACAGGAAACTTACAGGACACAACGGGGCATCCACGGACAAGACAAGACACGAGGGGGAAAATCCAGCAGAATGAGGCAGGGCAGGCAGACGGGAAAACCGGGACAAGACTAGCCAAACGGGCGGGTAGACATGAAAATGATCTGGCAGTGAGTGTGACTGGAGTTTAAGTAGTGGCTGCAGTGGAGTGAGCATGTGAGAGAAATGAACTGACGAGGTGGGAGTGACTGGCAGGTGCGCTGAATAAACTGATTAGGTGAGAGATGGAAAAAACAGGATAATGGTGTCAGAGCTGTGACAATGTGAGAGGTGTACAATGTAGACAGCTGATGTATGTCCCCTGATCTGAGTCTATTTCTGATAGAATGAGGAAACGTTACAGGGTGAATAATTTGATCTTACAACATCCACCAGTAATGTGGTCTGAAAAATGTTCAGTGTTATATTGATCTTCATGTGACCACACTCTCTGTTACCCAGTCTGTGTGTGATAACTGCAGTGTTTGTGTCCTTCAGCTCAGGTGTTAGAAACCTAGAGAAGGAGGAGACAGGGGGAGCAGAGGGGACAACAGTGGAGCTAGACGGTCTTCGTTGGCCCCACTCGGTCCAGTGGTTGGACCTTGGTCAGTCGCTGTTGTTTGCGGATCTGTTTGGACAGTACCGCTCCCTGTTGTGGACTCTCTGCAGCAAAGCCCTGTGGCTGCAGCTGCATGTGCCACGAGCAGGAAATGGTGCAGGAAGCATCAACCTCCAAGACAAACACAGGGGCTTCCATATCCTGCACAGGATGAGTCAAGCTTCAGAGACAGGTGAGAAGATAAGGTCCAGTCAAATGTCCAGTCAAACAGTGTGGAGGTGTCCATACTGCTGGTCATACAACACAGTCATTCATTATTTATTCACTTATTAAAAGCAGCAATGTGAAGCGTCACTACGAGACAAACAACTCTTTTGAGCAAACGTACCCACTCATATCTCAAATGAAGTCACAGATAATAAACAATCTAAGAGCCCGATATTTATTTATTTATTTATTATTAGATTATGTATTATTTGTAATTCATCCAGTTCAATTTGAAAGTTGATGATAAATATTGTTTAGATATTATTCAATTGAACTTCCTATATTTGAAGTGACAGTCAGTTGTTTACTACATACAGACGTTAATACAACTATTGGCTACTTCAATATGTATGGCACTAAATCATAGAGCAAGTTAGATTTTTAAGACTTCCTGTTTCTAAAGCATCTCAAAGTGAATTGGTCGTCTTTGTAAAATCCCTAGACATCTAAATAGTGTTTTTATCAGTGAACTATTTGTGACAGTCACGTGATTGCAACTCACACCGGCTTCACTACGCCGAGTATAAACTAAACTTAAGGTGTCCACATTACAGGTGTAAAAATCACCATTTCATCTTTGAAAATGGCTGAAAACTCCATCTACTGTTTTAAACATGGATGTATAAAGACATCTGGATACACCTTGGAGGCGGCGCACTGTTCAATCAAATGAAAGTTGCTCAAAAAATGTTTGACTTCAGAGAATAAAATCACCCGGATCTTCTGGCAATCTTCCGCATTATGGGGCTCAATAAACAAGCGCATTAGCATTTCATTTAAAAATAATCCTTCAATTTACAGACGTCTCTTTCCCAATGGAAGTCTATGGGAAAAAGTATTTTTGGGCCCCATGGCATCACATGGTGGACCCAGAAATTGTAGTTCCATCATTTGGCCTTTGCTTCAAAGACTGGCACTCTTCCTGGGGGTTTGGTTTTAAATCAGCCCTCATCTTACAAGGCCAATTGTAAAATAGAGGTGTCCGTTTGGGACAAATCTAGGTCCTGAAATTCAGAAAATGTTAACGTCCTCATAACAGAACCCCCTCCTTGTTTTTTCTTTTTCAGTTACCACCATGTAGCATGCCTGATATCAGACATCGTGACACTCTTTTTCCGTCAGTCAACTCAATCTCTGTGAAGTGGGTTTCAATGACGCTACGTGATAGTGGGGGTGGTTTCATCTCACGGCCCCTTGTTCATTCTTTTGCATTTTTCTAAATGATGCAATGTGTGGGCTCAGACCTGGGGGAGAAGTGCCATAAAAAAACCTGAGGACCACCTTCACAAATAAATGGGAAAACTAACATGACAGAAAAACATGACAGAAAAATAGAAAATAATTAACTGTGCTCTAAATGTTTGTTATGCTACTGTCAGCTGTGATGACCAAAATAATATTCAGCGTGTATGTACTGTTTATGTATATTTCCTCACTATAAGCATTTGAGCTTTTACTAGCACAAGGTTGTCTCCCACATCACTTTGTTGTTGGAAAAACTGCATCCCGGGGAACATCAACAGCAGCAGAACATGTTTGTCTCTACCTGATGGTATATGGACTGTACTTGTATTTCTCTTTTCTAGTCTTCCGACCACTCAAAGCTCTTTAACACTACATGTCATCATTCACACCCATTCATACACTGATGACAGGAGCTACCATGCAAGGTGCCACCATCAGGACTCACTAACCATTCATACAACACACCGTGTAGGCACAGCTACGACACCTCGACATGGAATAGCGGAGCCGGAGATCGAACCACCGATTCTCTGACTGAAGGAATGATGAGCCACAGTCGCCCTGATGATGTGTTGTGATATTCAAATGTACCTGGCCATTGAAATTATGCTTTTTAATGTGATGTTTTTTTTTTTTTATCTATGAGCATTGTCTTGAGCAGAATTAGATGTAAAAATAACTAGCTTTATATATACCATAAACAAATCTAAATTCAATCTAACTCTTTGGCAGTGCAATTGCAAGTCTACATGACGCTTCTGGGTTTTGTGCTGTTTGTTGTAGATCTGGTTCCAGAGGAGTGCAGAACCATGCTGGAGGACTTCTGTCTGTATCTGTTAGTCATTACAGCACATGCTCAGTGGGACTATGGTTAGTACACACACACACACACACACACACACACACACACACACACACAAAGACCACTCTCGTTGTTGTTGTCATTTAACAGCAACAGGCAGAGCGTCCTATCAGTTGGAATATAACTACATATCTCAGTGTCATCTTATTTAGGCTTCGTGTACGTTGTTGGCTCACACAAACTTCCACTTCACACTAAACACTGCTCTTCATTGGGTCCTCAGCAACACACCTGCCATGACATACAGTTGTTACATCACACAGTTAGAAACACCAGTGAAATACACTCTGGTTCACATGAAATAACACCAGAGGCCGACTGTTAAGCATGGTAGACAACCTGGGCCTGGGGGCCCCAACTTAAAGGGCCCCAAACAGCTATAGATGTATTATGATGTTTAGATGAAGTACTTCTACTTCAGAGGTAAACATTGTACATTTATCTGACAGAGAAATGTTGCTGGTGACTTTGCAGATTATTATTATTCATTAAACTATCCAGCATCATATTAGAATTGAAAGCTCCACCTTGAACAGACATCAAGTATATTTAAGTACATTGTGCTGATAAAGCTTCTCTTTCTCTCTTCACTTGAAGTAAACATCTGAATGCAGTACTTTTACTGTGTGGTAGTAATAGTTAACTATTAATAGTTAATAGTTTTACATCAGAAAAAAAGCTTTTCAGTAGGCCTACTTCTTTAACCTATACCAACATTCCCAGTTGGAGAAAGGGTGAGAATAAAACAAGGCAGCTTTACCTGTAGCCCCCAAATCACTAAATCAGGTCCGTGTTACTGGCAGTCAGAATCATTGGTGACTTAGCAGAGGTCATTTACAAATAAGAGCATTAGTTGCTTGCTTTGATATAACCACTGCAGTTATAAAGTAGAGCATGGATTCATTTAGAGGAGATATTTTGCTGTTATTAGGGTAATGGTGTCACAGCTCTGCCACTACTATCCTGTTTTTTCCATTTCTCACTCACCTAATCAGTTTATTCAGTGCACCTGCCAGTCACACCCAGCTCATCACTCTCACCTGCTCACTCTGCTGCTTCACTATTTAAACCCCAGTCACACACACACTCACTGCCAGATCGTTCTCCGCTTCCATGCAAGACCTTCCAGCATACACCCTTGGACTGATTCCCCGTTACCGGCCCTGCCAGCATTGGACTACCCCGCCTTGCCTCTGCCCCGGTAACTCACTCAGCCTTCTGTCTCCGACCACGACATCCTGCCGCTTTTTCCCTGTGAATATTCTACATGTTGTGTGTCCAGAGGAAAATAAAGCTTTGATTCAAACTATCCCTGGTGGCTGTCGTACTGCTCCTGGATCCTTACTACACCCGTTACAAATAAGTTAGTATCAAGTGTCACAGCAGGGAAACAAAGTCTGACTCTCAGAGACACTGGTGAAATACACTCTGGTTTCATCTGCCTCCAGTTTGCTATCTGCTCGTATAGACTCCATGGAAGTGACAGAGTTTGGTTGTAGAGTAAACTGCAGTCAAAGAGACTTGGTCTGCCAGATGTGGTCACAGTGCTACACAGAGCGCTGTTCGCTTCTTTATTCAAAGAGCATCCTGCTTCTGTATTGTACCAAATTCAACAAAAGCACTCACTTGAGTCCCCAAACACCCGCCAAGTATGGAATAGATCAGATGAGAGGTAGATGAGATATGCGAAGGACAGACAGAGGTTCCTTGTGTTAGTGAGATGTTATTGTGGATCATTGTTTATCAGCACATACTCACTACTAAATCACAAGCTTTAAACCTTCATCTGGACCTCAGAACATTGCACTGCCAGTTTTCCATTAAACTCATACAAACCTATATAACCCTTAACGTATGTGTCTCTCACACACTGTCTTTCTCCAGAGGTGTGCAGAAGTTTAGGTTCAGCTCTGAAAGACAAGTGTCTCACAGCTGTGAATCAGCAAGATGGACATGTGATGATGTCAGTGACCATGGAGCACCTCCTGCTGCTGTCCCCTCCCCTCCTGTCGGCTCTGAGCTGCCCTCACTCAAACAGTAAGAAGACATACACAATGGGCCTCATGCAAGAACATTCCTGCACTCTTACATTAACTTTCTCTGACTTTTCCTCGTACGGTGGGCTCGTTCTAGTGAGCCGTGTCAGATTCAGCAAATAACTGAGTAAATTAGCATAATTAATGCCCCAATAATACCATGTAAAGTTAGGTAACTTGTCCCATATGTCCAAAACCAATAAATAAAAAAATGGGGTTCAAGGGGAAGTCTCCATCACTGAGAAGGAAATAACATGTGTCATAATAGGTGACGTTGCATTATAAGGCATCGAAACGGAGGTTGTTCCTCTGGACAGCTGCTTACATAAACCTGCACGTGAAGAAGCGTCCATCTGTCTCTGCCAATATCAGAACGCTGATTGAAGACTAAAGAAGGAAGTCAGCCGTGCCGTGCCTGGCTACACTTCTCACTGACCTTATTGTATAAAGAAACGTTTTGCAGCAGAGTCAAACATGATCATGTCAACATAATTATGAACTGTAATTTATAAAGGAATTTCTACCGCAAAAATAGCTTCAAAGTAAAAAAGTTATATACAATCCATTAGTGAAAAATACATTTTGGATAACAGCAGACTAACTAAAAACTAAAAAGTGTGAATTGCGTTCGTACCATTGGAGAAAATTTAAAATACGATAAAATTGGTGATTGTGGCAAGTTGTCCTCAATCACTGGTACAAGGCACTTAGGTTCTTACCTTCCTGCAATATCACCGGATTCATCAGTGTAAGCCTGTGTTAATGCACCAAGCTGCTGTTGATATTCACATTGTAACTGAACAGACAAGCCCTTATGCTAAGCCCAGGATTATTGATGAGAGCGGGGGAGTCTGTGGAAGCTAACATTGGTGACAACAGACACATACTTGCAAATAATGTAGCTATGTGCAAATTTGATATCCAATCATGATCTGTTCTAATTACCAGGAAAAGAGACTTTTCTATAGTGCAGACATAGTTAACAGGGGATTCACTAGAGACTCAGCTTGACAGGAGGGCAATAAGCTGAGGAGGCTTGACTTGGTAAGCCATATGTATTGAACAGCTACTCAATGTAGTGCCCCTTGAACACAGACTGGCCAATCATAATGTAGCATTGGCCAGCTCTGACCAGGGCCCGACAACTGTACGCTCTGCTGGTTAGAGATTTCATGCAGTGGTTTCAGATTGTCTTCATTTTCCTTCATCCAGTAGCCGAAGTGCATTCAATGAGCCACCAGCTAAGTCTCTCTCTCTCTCTCTCTCTCTCTCTCTCTCTCTCTCTCTCTCTCTCTCTCTCTCCCCCTCCCCCCCCCTCCCCCCCCCCCCCTCCCCCCCCCCCCCCCCCTGCAGGTTCTTATAGCCTCTTTCCTTCCAGGCTCCCTCTCCAGAGACAGACTGTTAGCTTGGTGTTAGCCACAGTGCAGCTGTCGATGGTCTGGGTCATGTCCAAGGCTTACCAGTTCCTCTCTTCATGGAGCCTCAAGAAGTTCCTGCTCATCACACAGGGAGACCTCAAAGTATGTTACTTCTTAATATCAACCATGATGAAGACACCACTTTGACAACATAGTTGACACAGTTCACAAGCTGATTGATATGACTCATGTACTATTGTCAGGGTATAGTGACAGCTTGAGCAAATATGACACTAAGTGTATTCATTTGACCAACTGTAGCGTTAAGTGATTATATTTCTGTACACCAGACTTAACTTATAGTGCAGTTTTTGCCTTTTAGCCCTGAAATGAAATCGCAGCAGCAGTTTGTGATGTGTCCTTTCTCTGCAGGTGCTGAGGGAGTCAATAGAGATGATGGTGCATCAGACAAAGTCCCTGATGATGAATTCAGATAGTAACCAACATTCTACTCTTCATCACCACAACCAGCTTCTGCTGAGGCAGCAACTTGAAGGACTGGACAGGGCTGTATCCGAGCTGCAGGTGAACTGAATGGTTTATTCTACACAACCGCAGTAGAAAGTGACTCCTCTTCCATTTTTATTTCAAAGAAGAGAATTGTATCCAGCAACATATCAGCTGTGTTTGACTGTTTACCCACAGCTGAGTGTCAACTGACAAAAACATGATAAATGAGGCGGTATAGAAATACAGAATCTTATTTTCTTTAGATGTAGACCACGTCAAATAATTATTATTAATACCTTACAGAAAGTGTGTGCAATAACTTCTCGTTCCCTTTCTCTCTCTCTATGTAATTGTCTCAAAACCTCAATCAAAGCATTGCATGTAGAAAAGATATTTGATACAGCATTGGATATATATGTCATCAAATTAGCACAATATAATGCCCCTCATTGATGCTACATCAATGTAAATACAAGCCACCGCTAATACAATCAATACGGCTAATTAACAGAGAGCCAAGTAGCCGACAGAGTTTGTTCATTCCAGCTTTACCAATAGGCAGACCTGTGACGTGCGTGTTTATGCATAATGTTTGAAAGTTTCTTCCATTCTGCCAGCATGAATGTGGCGTTATGCAATCCAAAGAATGTGGATGTCACTGATCCTGATGCCTCTGTTGTTTCCGCCAGACCTTCTCCTCTCTGGTGCTGAAGACCTTCTCCAGCGACTGCAAGCGGATGTCAGGGGAGATCTTTAAACAGACCATGCCTTCTGCTGTACACTGGAGACCCAGTCTCAGGACAGGTACTGTTGTTAATGCTCCGTCTATGTAGAAACTCACACAACAGATATTTGCTGATCAGACTAAAACTAAGGAAGACGCTCTGTTTATTGCTTTGACACACATATTGGATGGGTTTGTATATAAACTATACAGTAGATTCATCTTCAAAGTTCATTTGTAGATAAAGGATGGAAAGTGGAAACCTCAACAGACTCTGAAAGATACATTCTAAATGTTTAATGAATACATTATTTGGGGTGTTTAAAGGATCGTTGGAGGGGATTTAGTGGCATCTAGCGATGTGGTTGTAGATTGCATCCAACTGAAAACCCCTCTGCTCACTCCTCCCTTTCCACTGTGTCAGAGAACTACGTGGCCCTCAAGTAAGGCTCTCTCTAGAGCCAATGTTTGGTTTGTCCATTCTTGGCTACTCTAGTGGTGCAACATGGTGGACTTCCTGAAGAGCTCCCTGTGTAGATATGAAGGGATCATTCTCAGGTGACGAACACAATGATTCTTAGTTTCAGTTGATTATACACTAATGAATTATAGTTAAAAAAATATATAAATCCCCCTAAATCCTACACACTGCTCCTTAAAGGGAATGTACATATTTGGAAATGGCCCTTCCTCAACTTCAGAGACAACAATCATAAGGTCACATACAGGCACTGAAAATGCTCCCTCAGGAGATAGCTTCCACTAATCTCTGACCAGATCTTGTGTTGTGGTCAGAAACAGTACCATGGGAGGATGCAGTAGAAACTATAAAAAAAAATGCGTAGATATACAGAGCTGGCTGCAGAGGCCGGGAGCTTGGCTGGAAACCAAATGCACATCCCCTGGAGGTTGGCTGTAGGGATTTTGTAGGCAGATGACTTTTGTCCCTGTTAACCGAGCTGGGTAGAAGAGGGTGGAGCCCCAAACACGGAGTGAAAAACATGGCAGACACTGCAGCCATTCCAGTGAGTGTGGAGTGTGGGTTAAAATTAAGGTGAGTGAGCGGAGCAAAGTTGATCAAAGCACAGAATTCCTAAACTTATAATGTTAACCAGTGATGTTCTATCAATCCATCACATTTATTTATGAAGCACATTCAAAAACAACCCCCCAGTGACCAAAGTGCTGTACAGACCACAGCAGGTAGCTAAAGTACAAAAATAAGAAACATGAACACCAATGCACACAACACATGGGCACAAATATACAAGACATAGGCATAAGCACGAGTCCAAAACGCCAGAGAGTGAAAGTGTGTTTTGAGCCTGGACTTGGAATCAATGGAGGGGGTTTCTGTTCCACAGTCTAGAGCTGCAACAGCAAAGGCCCGGTCCCTGAGGGAGCTGAAGGGGTTAGGAGGTCTTGGATAGAAAAGGGCTTAATAGACAAACAGGAGAACCATAAAACCAATTCTAAACTGTACCGGCAGTGGAGAGAGATCAGAATAGGGGTGAATAGGCGGCGGCGTTTTGGACCAGTTCTATGTGAGACAGGGACGACTGATCAATCCCAGTACACAGGGAGGTGCAGTAGTCCAAGCTGGAGAATATGAAGGCACAGATGACCTGCTCACGTTCTTTAAATGACAGAAGTGAGGAGTGTGTTGCATGCTGGGATGAGCAGTTGGTTTGTTTGTTTGGTTTGTCTGCTGATGACCCTGTAGAGCTGCCTGCCTCTTACGCACACATACAGTATAACTTCCTATTGTTCTTTATTTGGTAAGACAGGTCAACATAATCCATGAAAAGTGTCTCATAACAGGGGGGATGCTACCTAGTGGCTTTTAATAAGACTAGTGGACCCAGTAGATTTATTGCAGCACAGTCTGATACCCACTGCACGGCCTATACATACATAGGTCAAAACATCATTTAACGTTATAATAGGAATCAAAAATCATTATAATAATTTACTTTATTTAGACGGCACTTTTCAAAAGAAAGTTGCTTTACATAACATAAATACTGGGGATTTAAACCAAAGGAATACTCACACAACTTTTGGCACATTTCACTGTGTACTGACAATTGTGTATTACTCTGTTTGCTCAGGTTTTCCCAGCAGCCCCAGTGAGTATGCATCTTTGGCAGCTCAGACTGTGATTGGTCAGGTTTTAGAGGGTGTGGCACCATTGTCTGATGATGCCCGTGTCCAAGCACTGAGTATAACAATGACGGCTTTCATGGAGGCGTGGATGGAACACATCCTGAAACAGAGGATCAAATTCAGGTATTTTTATTCATACGGTCATACATTGATGTCTACCACAGTGTTGAAGAATATCACCAAAGAGATGAAGAATACCTTGTGATGGGGCAGCACTGTAGCCTAATGGTTAAAGAGCAAATCTAGCCTACACATAACAGCACATTCATGGTCTGACCCCCAGCCTCTCCATATTTCCTGTCTATCCATATCTGCTCACCCAGGTGTGCCGAATGAGAAATCCCACTTGATCATACATTGCAGGCGTGTGGCTCATTGTTTATTATTAAACACTATGTAAGGGCAGCTGTTGCCATGTGCAAATACCTCAAAATTGGAGAGATGCCACCACAAAAACGGCTGTAAGAAGAACACAGACAGCGAGACTGATTGATGGCTCGATTGATTGATTTTTATTGATGCCAAATTGGGAAATGCTAGAACAGTAGCAGCGAAATCAAGGTACTGTTCAATCAACTTCAATGAAGTAAACGTGATTTTTCAGTGTCAGCACTGGTGTTGCAGGAAAATCAAAAACCACAGAATAGAAGTATGTAAGCCATTCAGAAGCTGGACACGAGCAATCATCAAAGAGTTTCATCATCTTCGTTGACCTCTGGCTAAGTCCCGCCCGTTCCGCAGCCTTGCCTATCGTAGCACTTCTATTTTAAGCTAGCTACTGAAGGTATACTGAATGTCTACACATGCTGCTTTAGCTTTTTAATGATTAACAGTGAATAAAGACCTACCGAGCATTAGAGGAACAGTGTTGTTCCTTCATTTCATTGTCATTTCATTGAACCAGCACATCACCAGGTGATGTGCTGGTTCACTTTTACACTGAGAAATCACTTTCTGTTTTACCAAAAAATTCAATAAAAAGTATTCGGTAGTGCATTTAGTGACAGTTTGAGCTTCATGGTAACTCTGCTTGATGGAGTAGCAGCGGGGGGCGGGGCTTAGCCAAGGGTCAACTGGGATCAATGGACCAGTTGTATTTCTTAGGCCCACAAATTAAATAATCCAATCAATATAATTACTCTGAAAGATATGATCATCTTAATTTGATTATATGATATTCATTTGTTTTTTGTGTTGTAGACTATGAAAACAAGATGTTTTTTTCTTATCTTGTTAAGAGTGCTCTCGATGGTAAAATGTTCTCTTACCTAAGAGGAGAGCAAAACTAAGACAACATTGGTGACTCCCAGAAATCAGTGGGTGGTAACAAAATAATAACAAATTGTGGATACAAACAAACTAGGTCCTTTGTTAATTTATTGCTTCCTGCATGAGGTCCAATGTGACCGCATGAAAATGTATAATAATGTAAAAAATATAAAGCATCACTTCAGTAACTACTAGAATGAGAAAATGTTCATGAAAACACGGGTCAGTGTGTTTCTGCCAACAAAACACAATTTTGTCTTTGTTTGATTTGTTTTGTGTGCGAGTGAGAACTGCTGACATGTAGTTCTGTTGCTCCTCCTCAGTGTGCAGGGAGCTCTCCAGCTGAAGCAGGACTTTGATTCCATAAGAGAGTTGATCCAGTCGGACCAATACGGCCTGTCAGCTGAACTCCACCAACGGCTGCTCAGCCTCCGGTATGACATCCTGCCTTTCAACTTTCTGTTCATGCTGTATTGTCATGTTCTGTGTCTCATTGAACTGTTCAACAAACCAATATCTTTACTTGTTTTCAAATCCATCACACCTACATATTTGTGAAAGTTACACAGCTATACCGTGTGCCACGCATTTTTTGCTTTAGTGGGAACTGACTTCATGTTTAACATATGTGGTTAACACCTGACTGCTAGCTCTTTGGACTCTCTTTTGGGTCACTTAACAAGTCAAGACAATTTAAAAAGCATGAGAAAATGTCACATTTCTTGGTGTTTTAAAAAAGTATTTTATTTGACTGTTGACCTGTGTAAACTTTAGCCCCTTTTACACAGAGATTCTGTAATACTGCCATAAAGAGGATCTGCCATTATGCTGGCTTTGCTTTTTTACACTGACTCAAAGATGCTCTACAACAAATATGATGCATTACAAGCTCCACCAGTGATTTGGACTGGTATACACTAAGTGGGTGTGGTCATGCTCCCGTAGCTGTGACTGCGGTGTATGAATGGGTGAGCCCTGATGGGAAGGTGGAACTTGCATGCTAGCCCCTGTCATCAGTGTATGAATGGGTGTGAATGGGTGAGTGATGACATGTAGTGTTAAAGAGCTTTGAGTAGTCGGAAGACTAGAAAAGAGAAATGCAAGTACAGTCCATGTACCATCAAGTAGAGACAAACATGTTCTGCTGCTGTTGATGATCTCTCGGATGCAGTTCTTCCAATAACAAAGTGATGTGGGAGACAACCCTGTGCAAGTAAAAGCTCCCACAGCACTTTTGGTAAGCAGGTTGGGTGATCCTTCTCTCTGTCTGCAGGGTGTTTCAACAAGTGGACTCAGCAGTGGTGTGTCTGCTCCAGCAGCCACAGGCCAAACCATACCTGCAGTCCAGAGCCTGGGAACCTTTCAAACGCTGCTGTGAGTACCATACCACTCGGTCAGAAAGTCGCCCTAATGAAACCATATTTAGGGCCCGAGCAACCGACAACGTCGGGCCTGCGAAGGCCCTATTGAAATTGTAAGGGGTATTATGATTAGGGCCCGAGCTACCGACGTCGGGCCGCGAAGGCCCTATTGATATTGTACCCGTTTGGGTAAACGTACGCAAGTATGAAAACTCACCAAATGTTGGGGACTTGTCAGGCCTGGTGAATATAGCCATCTGAAAAAGAATGCATCTTTCTGTGTTAAGAAATGGCTTTCTAGCGCCCCCTACAAGTCGGACCGGCGACGCCCCTCGGCCAGTATGTCCGATTGACTTGAAATTCAACACACATGTCCAGTTCCGCTAGATCTAAAAAAAAAAGCCTCTCAGACCCCTCAGCTCCGCCTACTTAGATTTTCCGCCATATTGAATTTAGTGTAAAACACATTTCTGCGAACTCCTCCGACATGCTTAGTCCCATTACTACCAAATTTGCTGTGGATCATTACTGGATATATGTCATCAAAAGTTAACAAATGCTTTTTGATATATTTTTTTCGTTTACAAGATATGTACCAATAAACTTCTTAGGGGCGTGGCTTAATATCAATACATATAACTTCTCAACCGTTTGTCCTAAAATTACCAGATTTTCAGCATATGTGCACATTGCATCCTCTAACATACCCTGAGATTCATTTTGCATTCAACAACTAGGGGGCGCTACAGTAAACCCTCGAAGTTGTGCTTTTTGCATATTTCAGCCTTCGCACTTTAATGAACTCCTCCTACAGATTTTAAGCGATCAACTTCAACTTTGGTCAGGATGCTCTTAAGACCTTTGTGATTAAAAGTTATCAAAATCGAGAGTTTTCATCAAAGAACCTTGACGTGGCGTGGCGGCCATTTTGCCTCATTGTTTATGAAAAAATAAGTTCTTATACGTTCTTATAACTCCAAGGTACATTATCCAATCCGCACAAAACTTCTTTTGCATGGTGCTACTTCAAGCCTAAACATACATACAAAGGAAGCTGATGGTTTAGTGACTTGGGATGCTCAGAAACTCATGGAACTTTGTACATGTGACATAGGTCATAGGCAGACATAGTGTATATGGGTTTTGTGCTTGGCCGTTTTAAATTGCCTCTATAGCGCCCCCTCAATATTTCAAAAGAGCAGCCCCAGCGCTACGTTTCAGCAACATGTATGAAACGTTTTAGGCAGATGTATCCTATGGAGACTTAAATATAAGTCTCTTGGGACCATGCTCTAAACCCTACCGGAAGTCGACCAGTTTCATTTATGTGTCATTTTTCAATAGATTTTGGCCTATTTCTAGTCGCTATACTTTAACGAACTCCTCCTAGGGACTTCATCAGATCCTGTTTAAATTTTGTCAGTACAATTTCAAGACAGTTGTGATTAAAAGTTATCAAAAGCTTTACGTTTGACGGAATCGTTTAGCCGTAGCGGGCGGCTACTTTACGTGATTCCCCATGAAAAAAGCTGATGTAACTCAGCTGGACTTGTTCCAAACAGTCCCAAACTTCACATGCTTGATAACACTCATGGCCTGAGGATGTCTACAAGCTAATTTCCCCTAATACTCTAAGCGCCACCTGCTGGCGAAAGGAAATCTGCATTTTGTGACAAACACCATCCGATTTACATGACTTTTACACAATGTGGTTTACATTGGACACAGAGCTACATGATGCATGTTTGCACGCTTTCTGTAGCGCCAGGCAGCGGATACAGGAAGCATCTGACTATTTGCAAAGCATCATTTCCAGCATCAGGCGGTCCACGCAGGATTAAAAACGTCTCGCTCGCGGACGCGCCGTCCGACGGTCGCGGACGCGCAGGCCGGAGTCCCGCCGGCACCCCCGACACGCTGCAGATTGCGAGGGCCCGTTCATCGCTGCTCGCAGCTTTAATTATTTTTGTACTTCGGGCTTATCTGGGGGGGGACTTGCCAAGCACGAAAACTCACCAAATTTGGGGGCTTTTGTCAGGTCTGGTGGAACTTAGCGTCTGAAAAAGGATGCATCTTTCTGTGTAAAAAAAAATGGCTCTCTAGCGCCCCCTACAAGTCGGACCGGCGACGCCCCTCGGCCAGTATGTCCGATTGACTTGAAATTCAACACACATGTCCAGTTCCGCTAGATCTAAAAAAAAAAAGCCTCTCAGACCCCTAAGCTCCGCCTACTTAGATTTTCCGCCATCTTGAATTTAGTGAAAAACTGATTTTTGCCACCTCCTCCTACATGCTGGGTCTGATTACTACCAGATTTGCTGTGAATCGTTATTCGATCTACATCATTAAAAGCTATAAAAACCTCTATGATATCTCTTTGCGTTTACAAGATATGGATCAATAAACTTTTTAGGGCGTGGCTTATATATCAATACACATAACTTCTCAACCGTTTGTCCATAATTCTAAAATCTTCAGCATATGTGCACATTGCATCCTGTAACATACCCTGAGATTTCTTTTGCAACCAACCATAAGGGGGCGCTACAGTAAACCCGCAAAGTTCTGCTTTTTGTCACTTTTTGCCATTTTTAGCCTTTGTACTGTAACGAACTCCTACAGAATTTATGCGATCAACTTGAAATTTGGTCAGGATGCTCTTAATACCTTTGTGATGAAAAGTTATCAAAATCGTGTGCTTTCATCGAAGAACCTTGACGTGGTGTGGCCATTTTTTCTCATTGGTGAGGAAAAAGGAAGTTGTTATAACTCCAAGGTACATTATTCAATCCGCACAAAACTGCTTATGCATGATGCTACTTCAAGCCTGAACATACCTCAATTGAAGAAACTTCAGTAATTCATAGCGCTGCCTACTGGCTGAAGGAAATGTCATATTTTATACTTGTATTTATTCCTCCTAGCCGGGTGACCTGATTACTCTCAAATTTAGTAAGAATAGCCTTAAGACATTTATGATGCATCAACATGAATATTGTGCGTTTTCGTTGAACGCTGTTGCCGTGGCGACGCATCATTCGCCATGAAAAAGGAAGCTGACGGTTTAGTGGGTTGGGATGGTCAAAAAAGAATACAACTTTGTACATGTGTCAAAGATCATTGGAAGAAATATTGTATATGATTTTTCTAATCGTCCGTTTTAAATTGCCTCTATAGCGCCCCCTACAATATTTCAAAAGAGAAGCCCCAGCGCTACGTTTCAGCTACAAGTTTGAAACTCAGTAGGCACATGTATCCTTTGGAGACTTAAATATAAGTCTCTTGGGACCATGCTCTAAACCAGAGGTAGCCAATACGGTGCCCGTGGGCACCCTGTCGCCTGCAGGGACCACGTGAGTCGCCCGCAAGGCATGTTCTAAAAATAGCACTAGTCATTATGGAGCTCCGTCTAAAATTGTAGTTGCTGTTCTTTTTTTAATCAAAAATGCTTGCAGAGAGTTGGGTACCCGGAGGCGCATGGCGGACAGCCAGGATGAGGCTGCCGCACCGCGCTAGGTTTTCAGGTTCTGAATGGCGAGCGCACCCCGTCGTCAGGTCCGTAAATCCTTGGAAACAGGCCGCGGGGCAACAACTCAGGGGTGGCGGGGGTAGAGGCGAGGCAACGCAATCCGACCGAAAAGGCCCAGACTAGAGGTTTGAACGGGGGCGCCCGAAGACGCTCGCGCGCCTCGGAGGGTTGGATCCCCCGCTCGGCTATAGACTAGACTTTTTACTGGTTTCTTCGTGGAGAAAAAGGTACCATTGGAAAAGCTGGTGTCGGTGACAACAGACGGGGTTCCCGCGATGACGGGCCAGCATGCAGGATTCATTGCGCAATGTAAAGGTGACCCAGACTTCGCAAAATTTCTACATTACCACTGGATCATTCACCAGCAGGCGCTATGTGCAAAAGTAACCATCTTTAATCATGTGATGATACAAAAATATCAGAGATGTGATACCTCTGACTTTCAAATGTTGAAACAGATTAACAGAAATAAAAGTTGCATGTTTAAATATGTATGTGTAGCTATACCATCATTGTTGTGGAAATCATTATTGATAATTATTGTGAGGAATAATTAACTGACATGTGATCAAACAGTCTCTTCACATATATTATGATTTATTAAAAGGTGATCTGTGCAACTTTGTTATTCAGGAAGTTTGTATCAAATAATTAGCCCTTCGTACTACTCGGTACCCTTGAAGTAGCTCTCAGTTTAAAAAAGGTTGGTGACCCCTGCTCTAAACCCTACCGGAAGTCCATCAGTTTGATTTTTGTGTCATTTTTCCATAGAATTTGGCCTATTTCTAATCGCTATACTGTAACGAACTCCTCCTAGGGAATTTGTCTGATCCTCTTCAAATTTGGTCAGTATAATCTCAAGACCATTGTGATTACAAGTTTCTAAAAGCTTTACGTTTGACGGAATCGTTTAGCCGTAGCGGGCGGCTACTTTACGTGATTCCCCATGAAAAAAGCTGATGTAACTCAGCTGGACTTGTTCCAAACAGTCCCAAACTTCACATGCTTGATAACACTCATGGCCTGAGGATGTCTACAAGCTAATTTCTCCTAATACTCACAGCGCCACCTGCTGGCGAAACGAAATCTGGATTTTGTGATAAACACCATCCGATTTACATGACTTTTACACAATGGGGTTTACATTTGACACAGAGCTACATGATGCATGTTTGCACGTGTTCTGTAGCGCCAGGCAGCGGATACAGGAAGCGTCGGACTATTTGCAAAGCATCATTTCCAGCATCAGGCGATCCACGCGGGATTAAAAACATCTCGCTCGCGGACGCGCTGTCCGGCCAGAGTCTCGCCGGCACGCTGGAGGATGCGAGGGCCCGTTCATCGCTGCTCGCAGCTTTAATTTAAACCTGAGTTACACTTAATAATCGTGATCATGTAAAGTAGAAGTTGGCAATCGGGACTATTAATTATGCATGAAGTAGTTCTGTGAAAACCATCGAAGGTGTGGATTAACTCGAGTGATG